CCCGCGCGTCGACCGCACTGCAGCCGGGCGACGGCCCATTTTAATGAGCCGTATATTTACAAGTATAATGTTCTGTTTAATAATTTCTATATGTATGTTTAGTCTCTTTCCATCCTAAGGTTGTCTGGTAGAGATCGCTGTAAGCGATAAGACCGCCAATTGTTACTTTGCTAATGTGTTTAATTTTTGTCCTATAAGCTCTCCATGTATGTGGTGCTAACACTATAAATTTTTATCTATCTGTCTATCTATTACGTTTGAAGTGATAACTGGCTCCGATATATATATATACAGACAGTCGGCTTTTTAAATCGCAAAGATCTGAGGCGCACTGCCACTGCGCCCGTCACCCTGACACATAAATTGACAAGTCCCATGTGCCTGTAATTTCACCAGCACTTACCCTTCAACTGCCTCCGTGGCCGAACGGTTACCATACCGGACTGCCACGCAGAGGTCCCCGGGTTCGATTCCCGGGCCGGGAGAAATATTTGTATGGCCTACATTTATTTCTCTCGTGAGTTTGGGTGTAATTTGTGGTTGTCTATGTGTGTGTCCATGGCACCCGCGACACAGGGTTTCCCTAGTGCGGGGCTATGTTGAGTGTGTGCGTTATTATTATTATTATAAAACCGGCACAGTAATGCTGACATTACTGCTTGGCGGCAGAAACTGATACGGTGGCAGTACTTCCCTGGACGAACTCTTTCATAAGGAGCTCTACTGCTACTAAAATATCTCTGCTTGTTTAGTTGAACTGCGCTTGTGTCAAATCCTTTTCTTATTTAGAAAAAATAGAGGCAAGTAGTATTGTATAAGTTAAGTGTTGGTCCTAACGATGATGCGCAATTTTAAAGATTTTTCTTATCAATAGTAGCGCCATCACATCAGGGTATAAAAGTAATCTGTCAACCGTGACGTCGAATGATATGGAGGCGAAAAAATAACAAAGAGGTTAGAAGAACTACGCCCAAAATGGCGTTTTCTGTAGTTCATACAACGACATTGCCTAGACCGAAACTGAAAATTACATCTTTATAAAATAAAGATATAATTACTTTATTAGATATATTTAAATACCCTTGACAAGATATATAGGTGTAATTAAATACTCATGTAATAGGGTAAGCAAATTACACTTGCAATTGTCACAACTCTATTATTATTATATTATTACTCGTTCGTAAGGCAGATTTCCCTAAGAAATTTTGGTTGTTCCTTGGAAGTAAATATTTGTCATTGACTTACAATTATATGGACGTCGGGTCCGCGCTAAAAAGTGTCCGAACTTATAGGGCGTTAAAATCGTATACAGAGCGTCATTCACGCTTTAGTTTTCGTTTGTTCGACTGACAGCGAAGCAAGCAAAATTAGACAGTACTGCGATGACATTACAATTTAAATTCAACATTTTAGCTTTTTCATATTCCTTTAGATACATGTCACTACGTTTAAATAGGTTGACTTGGGACTTTTTTTCGTGGTTTTTGTATTAGACCCGTCGTCCATTTATTTGTAAGTCAATGACATTTGTACACATATCATAGACAACATACGTACAAGAACGTTATTATAATCTATGGACGAACTGAATCAATTGCGTTGTGTTCTTACATTTATTCTAAAATACATTGTATTACAATTTGTTTATTCCCGACTTCTAAAAATATACAAAATTAAATTGGTAACAAAAACGTAAAATCATATCAGCAAAGTTCATGAACGGCTCTATGCCGATTTTATAATTATTGGGTCTGTTTTCGCTATCATTCTTTTTGTATAGTTTTACGTTTACTGCACAAAAAAGAAACAAAAGGCAAAAAAACAGAGTATAACATGCGGCCCTATTGCTAGAACCATTAAAATGGTAATGCATGTTTATTTTTTATTGAAAATATATATAATGTTTTGCAATAAATATGATGATGCTTTACTACCATGCTATTAATAAAAATGGAAATAAATTAACTTACTACTCCGCGAACTCAGTGTAGGTTAAATCGTGCAAAATGGCTGCGCTTGTATTGAATATTTTTCCTATAGTTAATTTTAAAAACTAACTTAATTAAAAAATAACCACTTAGACAGCAGAGACAAGAGACAACCGCAGAGACAACCTGTAAGAACTAAACGGGTTCCTACTACGGATTTTTGCCAAGTACACAGAAGCTGTGTAATAATAACATTTAATATACTGCGTAATATCGACCGGAATGTTATTAAATTAATTTGTGACTTTGTGAAGATGACTGTCAGGCAGGCACACAGAACAGGCAGTTTATAGTAATAAATCGAGACAACCTGAAAGAGGTAAAAGCACAGGGTAAAAGCCACAGACCCACCACAGACCTAGACCCGGTCTGTACCTCAGTTGGAAGAGCGGTAGCCCTGGGTAGACATACAGAAAAAAACGATTTTTTTACGGTATTAATTGATAGGTCCAGGCCTTACTTTTGTGTTCGTTCCATAGTTGTGTATAACGGCTTTAAAACGTACTTCTTCACTAGGTGGTGGCATGTTGCGAGGGTGGGCAGCCGCAACTAATGGCGGAATTACGCCTAAACACCGAATTCACTCTGTCTGTGGATATTTTATGTACCGGGTTTATACTCAAGGTCACACACTAAATTAATGCTCACGAAATTATGGCACTAAATCAGAAATTCATATTATAATAAAGCCACATACGAGATCATATGTCAAAAGTGCTTTTATCACATGAAAAACATAAAAATACTACGCACTACACGAAACAATATGTGCATACATACGTCTTATATTCTCCTATTTAAGCATTAAAAAGTTATTTCGATCGGCGAATTTTTAAACTTCTATTTTGTAAAATAAGCTATTGTGCAGATGTGGCCTGTTCATTGATAAATTTCAATGGAAATACCCACGGAAGAAAAAACAATGGAAGTGCCCTAAGCCACAATTATTATCAGGGCCACTGTCGTCAAAACTCACATATCAATAATTTTCAACACTACGAAATCTTGATATTGATTGGTCGTAGTTTCAAATTGAAAAGAAATAAAAAAATCTGGACTGTTAATAGAATTTAAACTTTAGCCTGTTGGCACATCGTTGAAAGTTCAATACTATAAACACTTATTATTGCAAGTTACAACGTTTTGATTTTATATTGAACAATCAATGTGCTTTCATCTAGCGGTTAATAGTTGAACGATGACGAATTCGCGATTTTTTTGCTCTGTTCTCCAAAGAAGAAGCGACCGTATTGCTTCGGCATAAAGTTTACTTTCGTTTTTTGTAATAAAAAAAGTGGTTGCGATAAATAGACAATTTAATAAAATTAACTAAAATAAGACTTAATCACGATACAAAACACCACCGTAGATAAAATTACAAGTGTGGATATAATTTATGCACTCTATACACATAACTTATTGTTATAACTAATTTGACAGAAGTCACAGATTAAGATGTGAAGTACTTAACGAAAATTCGTTGCTTAATAATAATGCCTAATGCCTAGCGATATTTAGACTGGAGATGGGTGATAAGGCGGTGCCTGCCGCGGCGTGTCGCGCTTGTTTGTTAACAGCCAAGGGGCTTAATTTTTAATCGAGAATTCTGACAGTTTGTTTATATGTCGCGGGGCAATGATAAAATCTGTGGTTCCATTAGTAAAAATTGATTTCCTATTTCATTAATTTTGTATGTTATTCGAATCGGCAATGTAAAACCCTCCATAGTATTATAGTTACCTTAAATTAACCTAAATATAAAATTCTGTCCTCTATGGTAACTATTTTTTAGGGTTTTGTGGGGCTAGTGAGGTGATCGTAGCCTAATTGGTGTGGTTGCTTATGTTATCGGTAATGTACCGGATAAATTTTCCCCTTGAGATCTTTGGAAAATTAGATGTATGATCTCGTTTTTTTGTGATACTGATGACTTTTAGTGTGATAAATACAGTCATATTAATTAATAGATTCAATTCATGTCCAATACAAAAAAGGAAGAAAATTGATTTGCTACTCCGCGAACCCAACGGCCATGTTTACGGCCATATTTGCAAAATGACAACTATTCAGAACAGAGTTAAAGATTCAGCGGAAGAAATTGTCGATAGCTTTTTTATGCTTAAATAAGTAAGTTAATTTGTTTCATATAGTTTATATTGTTTTTGATACCCTGTGATAACTGCATGGTAACACCGATGGACGGATAACAAGCAAAAAAATATTTTACTCAAAATACACTCTTGTTTAGTAGAGCTCCTTGTAAAAGAGTTCGTCCAGGGAAGTACTGCCATCTTACTTATTTCTTGCTGCTAAGCAGTCATTTTAGTGAACTTTGGTGAGGGTGCTGGTGTAATTAAGGGTAATTATGACGCTGGCGAAATTACACGCACATGGGACTTGGCAACTTACGTCTCAGGGTGACGGGCACGGGGGCTGTGTTCCTCAGATCTTTGCGATTTAAAACTCTGAGTGGCATTACAACTGTTATGGGCGTGTAGGTTAATACCACGACTTGCGTATAAAAAAACAATTGAACAACGATTAGCACTGTGGGCGCTGGATCAGAAGATCCCGGATTCGATTCCCGTAGGACCATATTTGGCAATGAACTTTTGTAAATTGGTTCTGGTTTGGGTATATATTACGTGTACTTTGAGATAAAGTACAGGTGAGGTTATCTGGTACACTATTATCGTTATTATTTGTACACTTAAGTGGAAGACAAGTTAATATTTTAAGTTTTCCACGCTTTTGAAACACTCCAAGTAGCTTTGTATTAGGTATACAATCATACATTGTATATATAGTCGGCATAGTTTCAGCTTTCAGAGAGCGCGTACATTCAGTATGCTCCCGACCGCCGTGAAGGACGTATGCCATTTGTGCTGAATTCGAAAGAATTTTCCGATACCTCGCGAAGGTGTCGTAACCCTAATTCATATAAACGGTGATATAATCTTTTTAATTAAAAAGTTTTGTTTAAACTAGTTTGCGAGTGGTAAAAATTAGTAATAAGTGAAAGAAGTGATATTTGTGAAGTTTGTTTAACGATTAATTATATTTAAAGGGAATAAGTTTACAAGGTAAGTTACAATTTTAAACTTTACTTTTTTAATTAAAAAAAATATTGTTTTGCTTTTATTACAACACTATTGTTTCCCTTTGATGGCATTTTATAAAATAAACTTCATTTCAGAAGTTTCTTTGCTCATTTTTTTTAATGTATAAGAATTGGTGAGTTAGCAAGTGAAATAACTATTTAAATTCGAAAATTAAAAACATTACATTTGACATACGTTGAAAGTATTCAAGAAAACATTTTTTTTACCGTCTATATTGGCTCAGGAGCTATGAACTACTACTCTGAGAATTACTTAAGAGATCCTAGATGTGATTTCTAGTCGCATTAATTTGATAAATTACTGTTCGGAATTAGGTCTGAACTAGGTCTACATTTTAGTACTTTAGACAAAATTTTGTTACTACTTTAGTGTTCATGACAAAGCGTTTTTTGAGTTCGAGAAAGAACCCAGGACTTTCTATAACACGTGTATTTTATTATAGTTGTTTGTTATAAATAAATAAATACATACAAGCTCACGTCCTAGTTCCATAAGAGGGATAGGCAGAAACCACGGAAAGCCACTTTACTCTATCCTGACACAACTCTCGAGGCTCGCATGCATGAACTACCCTTTTCATACAACTCCTTTTATTCTTGTCGCTTCCGATCTCAGCCTTTTTGAGGACATCACTGATCTGGTCAATGTAAGTCCTCTGAGACGTCCTCTTAAAACCCTTCCATCCACATTCTAAATAAATGAATAATAGACAACATCACAATACGTTGCTCTGATCCCAAAGCATCGAGTATATAATAAGAAATAGAGACGAAATTAGGGCCATCCATCCATCCCTGGCAACTTGTCAGGCAACTTCCGTTTGCACTGAAGTTGTACTATTTCAGCTTTCTAATTTGTGATTACAAATTGGAACGCTAATAAGATAAACAAATTATAAAGCTAAGAAATAGTACAGCGCCAAAAACTGACCTGTGTGTACGTCTCCATATATTCCAAATATATTCTGTAGTTGTTGTAATAAATATAATACCTCTAACAATGGGTGGCTGTGCCATTTGGTGGTGTGAAAAACAGCAAAACATCTAGTTACAAAACAAACGGAATCACATTTCATCGGTAATTAAATATATAATTTTTTAATTTTCGTCCATTATAGCAAGACTCAAGTTAAATTGGTCGTTTGGAAGTCAAGCAATTGACGACACCCGTCAACTGTTTCGAATTCGGGCTGGGCAAACGGAGCGCAGTTGTCACAGTAATGATATGGCAGAATAGTTTTCAAACAAATTAAATGACATTTCGTCTCTGTTTCTGGTTAAATACTCGATGTCCTAAAGTAAGTAACTAAAGCATTTGTGTTATGGAAATCGAAATCAGTGACGTTACCACAGACACCCAGACCCGATATAATACAGAAAAGTCAATTTTCTGCATTGATGTGATCGGGGATCGAATCCGGGGCATCAGAAATGGCGAGATCATGAAAACCGGTGTGCAAGCCATTCAATTCAATTCAATTTCATAAAATAATAAATTACGTGTTGTGGGTACAAATTGTATTCAGAATGTGCTAAATTTTATTGTGAATAAACTTTCCATTGATTAATACCATCACGTGACAACATCTAGCTGGTGTACAATTTGTTGGGTTTGGGCGCAAAATACGTTTCCATTTTACGACACCACGAACAAGTCATGCGCCTGTTTGTAAGCTACACGCCTGTCCATAACAGTTGCAGTGTCACTCAGCTCTTTAAATCGCAAAGATCTGAGGCGCACTGCCTCTGCGCCCGTCACCTAAATTCACCAGCACACTTGCCCTTCAAAACCGGAACACAATAATGCTGACATTACTGATTGGTGGCAGAAATAGGTAAGGTTTCGGTTAAGGTTCCGTTTTTAACCGCTTCAAAAACAGGTTGTATTTTTGTGCCTGTTTCTCAATTACCTCGAAATTTGTGAGCCGATTTAAAGGAAGATTCTTTTTTTATTGGAAAGGGAGTACCTCAGTAGAGGTCACATTCCAACTCAAAGATAACATTCCAACTCAAAGCGTGGTAAATTAGGAGATGAATCCGGTTTATTGGATTTAATCCACTTTCCGTTAACCGATTCCAATAAAGCTTAGCAATTAATTCTATAAACTTTGAGGTCGGCTTTTTAAACCATTTTAGTAATTAGGTGTTTTATATATATTTTGTTTTGATAAAGTACAGGTAAGGTAAAAAAGACAATAAAAGCTTAAATACTAGAAAGTAAAATTAGGGTTTTTAAATTATATGAATAAAATTGTGTCCCCGCGGCAAGGTGCCCAAGATGCAGGCAGCGTTCCCCCTTTGTATTGCTATGCTAACGCGTTGGGCAAGGAAGCTGCCGGCCCTTGGGTTTGTTAAGATTTACTTAATTCGACTGTGTGACTGTGTGAATACCTACTAATTCCATTGTTTATCCTTTTTAAGGATTTATAAGTGTTTCATGAATAGCAGTAGAAACCTCGTGAAAGAGTTCGTCTAGAAAAGTATTGCCCCATTTTACTTGTTTCTGCTGGCAAGTAGTTATGTTTTGACGATGCGACCTCCTCCATAGTCATCCTGTCTTTTTATCACCATTGCTCTGGTTCCTGGCTACTTATCTTCAAATTTTGAATCGTTCGTTAATTCCTTTGCCTCGTCATTCTCACTTTGTTTCGTTCCGTCGTCAAACTCTACTTACTGCCTGAAGCGAGCATTCCTGCTCGTCTTCACCACTGATTTTCATCCGTTTACCAGCTTCCGATTTAAATCCAGTATTCTATCCACTATCCTGAAAATCAAGTAACCTAAGTAATATTTGTAAAAAATACGGACCGCTCGGGGTAAGTTCTTTACTGTGTCACACGTTTCGTAGTATTTAAGTAGGCAGTGTTTTTAATACTGTACCTGTTTGTTTACACTATTTTTTATTGTTATAGCCTTTCTTCACCTTTACTTTATACAATAAATTCATGTGGACCGAGAAATCTATTATTATTGCTCCTTATTGCCGGTTTACAACCTTTTCAATATGAGCAATTACTGCGTACAGATTATTAAGGGCGCTGGTGAAATTACAGGTATATGGGACTTGCCAAATTTTGTCTCAAGGTGGCGCAGTGGCAGTGCCTCTCGGATCTTTGCAACTTAAAGTTCAGGGGCCTACTATGAGCTTATAACCAGGCAGCCAAGTTCCATGCAATTCACTTGACGTGAATTGCTTAAACTCGTATCATGACCTACACAAAGTTGAACGGAAATGGCGTGATAGGATGATGAGTTTTACTTTTTAAACGTTAGTTATTGTCTCTGGCTGGCTAGCTGACATCTAACAAGAGCGAGATTGAACTACATACTAAATCATCAATCAAAAAATAGGCAGATGTACTATCCTGGGAGCGTTCAAGCACTATTAACCGATTGTTTTCAAAATGAGAATAATTATATTTTTTTATTAGTTTTATTATTAATTATATTTATTACGTCGTTTTGTAATATCGGCAACCTTCAATCATACTTCACAATTTGTCGTACGACAAAATTACATGTCATGTTTAGTCATTATCAAATTGGCTATATAGCCTAAAAAGATAACAAATAATTATAAAACTAAAAATATAAGAAAACTTTTTTTTTCTTAAAAATGTAACAAAATCTAAAAAAAGGTAGTCACGGAATAACTTTTTTTGAATTACTTATTTTTACAGATTTGTGTGGCGAACGGCACGTCATGATACGATTTTGCTATCAAGGAAAGGTGAATGGATTTCGAATGGAGAATGTAAACTGCATGGACAGTGAATTGTTTTTGTGAGTAGGTCAATGGAGGTCATAGTACGAATTTGACAGGCAAACCAACTTACAGGCTTAAATAGGATTGCTCTAAGAGCTCATAGTAGGCCCCCAGAATGCTATAGACAGGTGTACTGCGTCACTTGGAATCGTAAGAAAATGTTAAAGTATTTAGATTAATAGTGGTGTTAAAATAAATATAATTAATATCCTTTTAGTTCCAAAGAGTATTATTATCGAGTTAGTTAAATTCCATACGTTGTAATCTTCTTTGAAAGCTCCCTTGATTAAAATTCATTTAATCAAATTCACGCGGTACCAAAGGGTCATTAATTCAAAGTGATATCTGTCGAAATAACATTTTCTGAAATTCATTGTTATCTCTTAGTAAACGAGACTTAATGAAATTCTAAAATTGTGACTTGTAACAATTCGGTAACGCGGGTGTAATGCTGTATGATAAATGATTTTAAGTCATGTTTGTTTCTAAAATGTAGCATACAGTTTCCTGAGTAAATACGGGGTGAAAATAGAGTAGGTATAAATAACACACAATCATAGCTCCGCACTAGGGAAACCCTGTATTGCGAGTGCCATGGATACACACATAAGTAGATAACAACAAATTCCACTCAAACTCACGGGAGAAATAAATGTAGTACATATAAATTCTCCCGACCCGGGAATCGAATCCGGGACTTCTGCGTGGCAGTTCAGCATGGTAGCCGTTCGGCCACCACGGAGGAAGTTAATTAACAATAATAATAAAGGTTCGAAAAAAAACATATAAAATAATACATAGGTACGGGGGAAACGGAGGACCTCGTCATCAGCTTACTCGCATCCGCTGCTGGACATAATCAATCAAATGTAAAGTATGCAGTGTTTCAATTTGGTCGAGTAGTACTTATTTGACAGTAAGTGCGTTTTGCGCACTACGTCCGATTCGTGTCGAAATGACGGTCCGAAATGTCACTGGTGTCCGAAGTTTTATTTTGTCTCTATAACTCTAGCCAAATTCGATGTGGAATAAACGTCAACAAACAAAAACATATGATTTTTAGGGTTTCCATCTCAGACTCTTTCACAGTTACCATAATTTCAAAATTCTCCTACGAAATTCGACTAGATTATGGATGATACTAAATCTTGATGCCATGTTTATAATGAATATTATTCAACAGAAGTTTCAAATCA